CAGCAGGAAAATAAAAGACATTTTAAAAAACAAAGCTACAGAGCCAAAGAACAATATCAGTATCAGAGGAGCAGGAAGGTAAGGAGATGTTTCTATGCCTTCATAACTAAAGCATAGCCTTTAGCCTGCTACCAAAAAATCCTACCTAATAAACAAAAGTGGCTCATCTACATTTCTAAAGACATAGTTTAACAGAAGTTCTAGGAAGAGCTCAGCATTGCTTCTGGGAACAATAAGAATTATTTAAAGAAAACAATTTTAGTTTTTCCAGACAAGAAATTATCCCCAAACTTACAATTTCGATTGTATAATCATGTTCATCTCCCTAAGCCACCCACTACTCAAGGTTCACTGGCCACGGTTTACCATTATTATCTTGAACACCAGCTGTGCATCTTGAAAACCCCACACAAATCACTGAAATGACACAGATGACAGGTAAAAATGAATTTTATTGATGCCCTGGTCAAAGGTTGTATTTGCACTGAACATGCTCAGCAGTAAGGCCACCTGCAGTGGCATTCATCAGTTGCATTGGAACTTGCAATTACAGAAATGAGACACCACTCACTCACTGCAAATATCCATCATACACAAACCAGAACGTGTATTATCCTTCATGTGGGGTCACTACACATGCTGGACTTCACAGCCACCTCACAGATGCTGTAGTCACACGCACAGCAGATTATGGACAGGTTCTACTACCACAGAAATAAACGCATTGGCATCTAGTGGCCAAAGAGCACATTACAGACAACATGGAATAGTGCATATACCTTTCATTTCAAATTTATGCTGTACGGAAAGATGTAGCACAGACCGAGATGGGCAGATGCAGCAGCATCTCCTACAGAAGAGATAGCCCCAGAGAAAAATCCAACGTAGGCTAGAATTCACCTGCACAGCAGCTGATTGCGAAAGGAACTGGAATGAGGTAGGACAGCCAGAAACACCACATAGTTACTAGGACACAATTATCTCATATAAAGACATCAGTGAGCAGAAGAACAGCAGTATCACCTTCATTCCTAACAGGCAAGCAGAGGCAAAAAGAGCTTCTGACAAGTTACCAGGATAGCGATCATCCTCCTCATTCAGCTGCCTCAGCTTCAGCTTCTAACAGAGTGCTATGATTCCACACACGTTCTTATATAGCCTCTGGCTCTTCCTTGACCCTCCAAAGAAGATAGGAGAAACCCTACCTCCACATATCAAGCAAAAAAGAGAGAGGCAGAGTTGCATTCAGAGATCATCACCCATCAGTTACAAGATAAGCTGTGCTTCTGCCAGCTCTTCAGAGGATACCATACTAAGACTTTGATGGGTTTCCAGTCTATCCCCAGAAATTCAAGATACTTAATGAGTAAGGGGGTTTCTGAAATCTTCAAAGCATTCATTTCTTCCCTTCCTCCCTCTATGGCACCACACACAAACTCAGATTTATCTTCCCATTCTGGGTAGGACAATCTACCTTTCCACTTCTTCAGGCTCTTTGAGGCAGAATGGCCAGCTGACCTCTCTGCCTGCAATAACTGTAGCTCTCCAAACACCCAGTGAGGGAGAAGAGCAGATGCCACACTTTCACAATGGAGTTGAGCTTTATGGAAATTCAACTTTGCATCATCTGCAACAGGATAAAAGCCAACCAAAACATAAGGAACAGGAGATACAAAGGGAGTAAATCCCTAGAATTTCTTTTAAGACAGCAGGTGAAGGTGATATGGGCTTACATATCTGACTCACTAATGCCAAGGGACCTGAATACCTCTCCCATCTGCCATTGCTCTGAGTACTTCAGACTCAGTTAGTGATGAGATGGTTTCAGGTCAGCCCTACTCTTCCCTGCTCCCCAGCACCCTAAGCATTGGCTCTCCAGCAGATGCTAGTAGAGGTAAGGGGGCAACCCTAAATGCGTGATGGTGGGGAAAGGCCGCATCCAACACCTAGGGATAGGAGAAACAGGAAAGTGCTCTTCCACACTACCAGGCTCCTCTAGGTTCGGACTTGGAACTTGCCAGCCTTAGTCATGTATTTTATCCCCTTGAAGGGCTTGTACTTCTCCCCATACATGTCCAAGCGATTCACCTTCAGTCCTAAAGGCAAACAAAGACAGCGTAAGACTGAGTGCTGCCACACACAAAGCTGAAAGGCCTTCAGAATAAAGGAACAGAAAACCATATTAGAGGTGCAAAAGGCATAGGAGAAGTTTTAGCAAGCAAGAAATAGAACAGAGGAAAGCTGGCAAATGCAAGCTGTCAGCAGCATTCTTTACAAACACACCCCCCTACCCTAAATTCTGTATAGGGCTGTAAGCAAGAAATTCAAGAAGGAATGGGCAGGCTGTTTTACAGAGCAACAGAGAGAACAACAAATCTGTATATGGTTCTCTTACTTGATGAACATGTTTCAGATAGAACGTACTTCAGAAGGCACGCAGAGCTACTTCAGCTACATGTTCAATCAGCACACGGACACAGCACAAAACATTTATCTTCTTCACCTGAAAGTCACTTACCAGATATAGCCAGCTGCTGAATTTTAAACTGCAGGTTAATGGTGGGGTTCTCATCAGGTTTGGATGCCCCAGCTTGCAGGCTCATGGTCCCTTTCAGGCTTGGCAGCTTCTGGGGATTTATTTTCCCAACATCCCATGAGAGTAACTTCAAGGAAGAGAAAATGCAGCAGTGAAACAGAGAAACGTAGTAACACCCTCTGGAGGGGAGTGGCCTTCCAATGACAGCTTTTAACAGTTCTCTAAGCAAAAAGCCTTTGTCTCAGTACCTTCCCCTTCATATTGGATACACAGCACCCTTTCCTCCTCTCAGTCAAGTCTGGGGTCCTCTGCTTCAGATACAGCACAGGCTTCAGGAGCAAAACCTACCATAAACGACATTCCCACTATTTGCGCTACAGGCTCCATTCCCTGTAACAGTCATATAAACAATGCAGAACCTCCTCCTTTCCAAGGGGTTGAAGCAGTGTTGCTTGAAGCTCTGCTATGGGTACACCATCTGATTTAAGTTTGCAGTTAAAAAAAACAAAAACCAAAAAAATCCCAAACCAAAAAAAACACACCAAAAAAGTGAACTCAGGGAGAAAAACAACCCCAAACCCACTAACAAACCCAAATCTTCACTGCTTGCAAAGAATAAAATCTAACATGTAGTAGTAGGCATCACAACTAGATATGCAGAAATCTGTAAAGCATTCACCAGATGAATGCTGTCATGCAACACCAGTCCTTGGAATTTCTGTGCTCACCAAGCAACAACACCTACAATACACTTGGACACTGAGCTATACACTGAGCTGTTGGGCTTCAGACAACTTCTGGCATGCAAGTCTCCTCAATCTAGATGTATATGAAGTTCTGATCCCAAGAAAAATATTGCCTTCAAAGGCTCAAAGTTCAGAGAAAGAAGGTAAGCATGAACAGCTCAACCTCATATTGCTGAAAGGCAAAAAAAAAAAAAAAAAAAAAAAACACACACAACACCTCATTTCCCTCTTTCCTCTCACCTTTGTAACTGGATCAAAGATATGCGTTCCCTGAGAAGGTGTGAGGCTCATGTTTAATACACCTTTTGGCATCTGGCTAGAAACCGTCACTCCCTCTATCGTCTTCCCCATAGTCTGCTTCGGCCCCACAGTGATCTCAAAGCGTCCCAATGAGCTGCCATCACGGAAGCTGATATTGTGTTTAACATAGACAGGGATTGCCACAAGACTAGAATAAAAGACAGGAACAGAGAGTCCTTGTCAAACTCTCCCTTCATCTTCACTTTTCCTGATACAGTCCTTGCCATGTTCTACACTGAAAACAGTGCACAACAATCTCCATAAAAGGAGAAAGGTAACCTATGTGGACTTTATTTGCTGAATCACAAAACAGAGTCAGAATGCTGATCTCAAGTGTTAATGACACATTCTTAGCAAGCTTTCCATATCTTAGTCTTATACCTCCCATCGCAGGAGGGCTAAGGACTTAACCTTCTCATCACAGGAAGGCTAAGGACTTGCAGTATAGCAGGAGACTTGAGCAAAAGACTTCTTGCATGCCCCAACCAAACTGGCAAGTAGTTCCAGACAGTACATGTGCTTGCTTTCAATTGGATTTTTTTTAAACTCATTTTCACCTACTTGAGATATGTCTGACAAAGTCTAACAATGCTTTAGCATACATAACACAAACTGGGCTACTGGGTAGCCTGCTTCCGGAAAAAAGTGCAAACAACTGGCAAAAAGTTACAGTTCTATTAAAAGAGACATCAAAATATATAACTGGATTACAGATTATCTTGTTTTATCTTTAAAAAAAGATTTGTAAATACAGAAAATCAGCAGCTCAGTAACTCCATACTGCCTAATTCTTCCCTGCCTTAATTTGTTCATCTGCTATTGGTCTTTGAATTGATGGGAAAAATTACAGAATCAGTGCTCCAAACAAGAAGAAAACCTACATTAAAAAAAAAAAGTGAAAGTTATCATGCATCTACTTCACATGGCAAAGCAAGCCGCCACTTACTAGCAACTCCTCCTTTTCCCAGGCAGAGACCCAAATTATAGAATTTGCAGCACTAAATTTACCACTTACTTCTGAGCACTGACATGATAGGAGAGCAAGCGAAAATTTCCATCAGGTGGAATGAAAGAGAGTATTCGCTCTGATTCCCAGCGCTTAAAACGCACACATGGATGAAAACTGACATCATCCAACAATCTGGGGTTCTGAAATAGAGAAAGTTACAAGGCTGAAGAAAGCAGTATTACTTACAATAACCTCTTCTCTTCAACCTTGCACCCATGAATTGCCTACCATTCAATACCCTCTATCTACTTGAAGATGTCTACATTCAGATATGTCAAGCTATTTGATGCTGTCACATCTGTGCAATAGCTGTACTCAAAATACTCTAAATAGAAATACTCTAAAAAGAAAATCAGATTTTAACAAAATGTAGTCATGTCAAATAATTACACTGATGAATACTCGTGAAAAGACGGCTTTTAGCATATCTGCCTAAAGCATCACTTTATATCAGAAGTTTATCACAACACATGAACAGCACTTTTAACAAAACATCCAAAAATAAAACCCTTGGGCTCAAAGTTGTTGAAGTTCACTATGAGCTTCCATTGTCAGTTCTTTCTTCGGTATATCCAAGTTCTGATCTACTGGAATCTATTCCAGTGAGACAAAGATCCTAGCAGCAGGGTTGGAAAAAGCTGTATTTGAGTGAAGACACAACATATAACGTCCCTTCCTTGAGCTTTACCATAAAGGAGAGAGTAAGGTCTGGCATCCCAGTCAGCTTGACACAAGCATCAATCACCCCTTGGATTTCAGCAGTTATTGTGGAACCTGAAAAAATAAACAAAGGAGGTTACACGAACCTGAACAAAACTCATCACGACATGAAAAAAACTACCCACGGGGAGGGAGGAAGGGAATCTAACCCCATTACAAAATGTTATGGCTCATTATGTTGGCTGCTCAATACATTTTTCACTCCCAACCGCTTCTAGAGAAGATACATATGAACAAGAACCACCGTCTTCAGCAACATCCATTTGGCTTACAAATGACCACGGCTCCCAACTATAACAAGACTAAAAAGCAGTGAAACTAAGAGAATAGCCCCAGGACACGCAATTTCCACCCACTTTCTATTTTCCGATATAGAACTGCTTACAAGATCTCAGAGATGGTCAAAGGAAAAAGTCAATTTTCTGATGCTTCACTAACGCATTTGACTAAATAGCACCTACAGGTTGGCAAGACTCCAGAGTGAGAACAGGAATTAAACTTCCCACATTTGAGGGCAGAACAACTCTTTGGCAAACCTTCTCTCTTCAGGCACTATCAGGACACGCTACTCTAGTCTTAGCCCGAAGCAACTTCCATACCTGATTTGTCAATGATTGCATCTATCTCCTCAATCACATCAAAATATGCTTCATTGTTGGTATATTTCACGCCTGTACGCCTCCAAGGCACCACTGATAGCTGTCCAGTAGGGAGCTGGTCACCCACATTTGTGCTTCCTGGAAAAGGAAAAGAGATTAGAAAAACCACAAATGTCAGCCAATACTCCACAAGACGTCCCTGGCCTCATCTAAATAAACTGTAATTAAGTCCCAAGAACCTCCTTTGCAGGAGAGCAGATACTCTTCCAGACTCATTGTCTGTATTCTACAATTTCCATCTTTCCTACATTTGACTTCAGAACATACCCTAACACAGGGTAGAGTTACTTAAACAAAACAAACAAAAACCAAAACCTCAGTCATCCAGGAAGTCACATTGTGGCTACAACCCGAAATGCAGTCCGTCTACTCTATCTTTTTTGTTAAAAAGATGTGAGCGGTACTGGAACTGGGACAAGTCTAAGAGCAAAGCGCTAACACAGATCTCCCAAGATATAACTGTGTTGGAGTTTAGAGGCTATGAGGCAACACAAATTCTCTTCTGGATATTGACCCATATCCAGATTTACTTCTATAGGAATACAGGAAAACAAAAAGCAGGTAAACTCGGGCAGTACCTGTGATGGTGTTGACAACCGTTCGCAGGATAGTGGGAGGTTTTATCAGCTCCTTGAGAATATTAGATTCCGTTGCCAATGGAAAGCCGTTGTCCAGCATCTCCTCCAGCACCTCATAAACCACCACCACATTGTCCTTGATCATCACCTCTGAACAGACACCAAAATAATCCTATGCAAAAGAAATAATTACGCAATAACTTCTAGAAGTTGAAAATAAGAGAGTCTTACTGATCATTTAGTTCAGTGTTCTGCCATACATGAATAAACCAAGCCTCCTTTCGGAGGAGGTGAAACAACACTGAAACTCCGTGCAACTATGGAAGCCCACTGGACATATTGAACACTCCAACAGACGTGCACAATTCTAAGTATATTTCCACCACCGCCCAAACAAGCCAGCAAATAAGTGCATCGTGACATGCTCCTATTTTCTCTCTATAAAAAGGGACTCTGTCTTATAGCTAAGAGATTTCTTAAAATTAGCACTTACAAAGTGGTTCAGCTGTAACCGATTAAGCAGCAATATTAATACAAAAAGCATATTTCCTTCAGCCATTACTCTGACTTGTGTCTTGTGATACACTTCATTAGAGTCCACTATTAAACACACAGCCTTCCTCATCTGTCCTAGTCTTTATCTACAGTACTTTCAATATCTTAACCAAGCAGCACTGCTGTTTAAGGAATTCAACATCTCTTGATCACAGCTTTCCGTTTAGTTTTGTTACAAGGCAAAATATACACATGTAGGCATCATACAATAAATAAATTCAAAAAAAATATATTTAAGAAGTTACTTTGGTGTGGAATATAGCAAAAGGACAGCATCAAACTCTCTTTGCATGTTCTGCCTAAGCCCATGTTTGCTTTATAGGAGAACATTTCTATAGTCCCTCTAACACACTGTCTGTGTTAGGAGGCAGTGCTAATAATTCAGCCATTCTTTTTACTTGAGTACTGAAATCACACCATAGTTTTATTCCATAGGGACTTTGT